CTTGGGGAGGAGGGGGCGGCCACGTCTGCCCTGCCCTGCCCTGTGGTGGGAAGAGCCTTCTGGGTTGAGTTTCATGGTTTTCCAGGCTGTCGTTTAGTATGAGCAGCACGTTGGGGCCCAGTCCTCCTCCTGTGCCCCACTGTCTTCTTGTTCAAATTAAGGTTATTGCTTCCCAAGGGAAAGTCATCTATTTTCTTAACCAGTATTTTCTATGTCGGTGCCAAAGCCTACCATCCACTGGTTTAAGTTCAGTATACAGTTGGTTTCTACCTCGCTAGAAATTGTGCAATTTGGAAAGGCTGAAAGCTACTCATCTAAATAACTCCTCATCTAACTAAGGTGCAGAAATCCTAAACCTCTGCCTGTGAAACTGAGAGGTACTATTCCCCCCTCCCCAAAATAAAAATTTTTATTATCTAAGGGGGCTAGTATTCAAAGGTCTGTTATTAGATGGCTTTCACCTGTGGTAACCAGTCTTAATTTTCCCCTGGATATGTGGCACGTTATCAGTCATCAAGCCAATATCTAAATTACACAGTATTGAAGTCTCTACATCCCTGACATTCGTCTCCCAGCTGTTTTTCACTTGCATTAACAGTGAGAACCTGTGAGCAGGTGCTTTACCTAACCTGCCCTCAGACACACTACAAGCCAGCCATACTCAGCTCCTCCCATGTAAGGATTTGTTTTAATGTCTTAAACTAACAAGATGATCATAAACCGAAATTTAAATCTCCCTCCTCACATATGTCTGCTTTCTGAGGATCCTTCTTCAAGACTCTTCAGCATCCTCCACTAACTATCCCATAAAACCAAGAAGGAGAATGGTGGACTTTGAACTTATTAAAAAAAATTCTTTAGGCACTATCTTCCATCAAAATATCGTCCATTGAAGAACTGGATTTTCATCAAAACTAAATTTTTCACAGTTAGTGCTTGTCTCCCTCAAAATCAAGTCTCTGTACATGAAAACAGTTTGTGGGTGGTTTTTTGTTTGTTTTCTGCCAATGGATCAGCTGTCACAAAATGTTTCTCATTTTCACCAAATGTTGGCTAAAATATTTTTCAGAAAATTTTCACTTTTTTATTAAATAGATGGAAAGAATTGCACTTGGTATAGGAATGGAGGGGATCTAGAAATACGAACTTTCAGTATTACACATACAAGCACTTTTTTCTACCTTATATAGTTTAACAGTATAATCTCATCAGATAATTGACTAGCAAAAAAATAATAAATATCCCTATTCCTTATATTTTAGTTGGTAGCAGGACACTTAGTGGCTTCCCTATTGAGCAGGAAATGTAACTCTGTGTGACTCAACTCAGGTCTGATCCCAGATCTGTTTGTACAGCATGAAAGAGGTAAGGAATGCTATTTTCCCTTACTTTTTGACCTGTCTCCATCAGAACAACATTGTCGATTACAACTAACCCATACCTTTTAAAATTAATAACTTTTAAAATCCAATCTGTTTTGTGAAGGAAGGAAATAAAGACACTGAAAAGAAGTCTTGCTTTGAGGCATTATCAAAGAACAGAGCCAGCAGTTCTGTGACAAATGCAAAAGGACTTAAGTCACGAGGAAAACTCCTGCTCCTGATGCACAGCTGCAGGTGTTCACAGACATGGCAGCTGCACAGCACCTCAGAGAGAAACCCATTTGCTAGGAGCAGATCTCACTCCACTGCCAGTAAGAGGACTACCAGCATTCCAAGGAAGGGTATCTTCAAGGTACGTGGTTAGGAGGAAACTTAGTACTCATCCCAAGCTGAAAGCAGGTAAGAGCTTAGACAGTTGCAAGTAAAGCTCTTGGCACAGAAGAGGCATTCAAAGATACTAAAAACTAGGATCACCAATGTACTAGAATAATAGTATTTCTTGGCTCCCCAGAGAGATCAGAGAATCTTTTTCTTCCCAAACTTCACGGAAGTGTCTTTGCTAACAGCTCCATCTTTCTTCTTTCAAAATTCTGTTTCAAAGCCACCAGAGTAGAGTTCTGTTTGTGCCTTGTGCATATGTTTGTGGCTTTCCCTGAACTCTCAGTAGTATCCTCTAACTTTTGCTGTCTGATTTTAGGTAGCTTGAAGGATTTCTTGCTTCCTGGAGAAAGATATGGAGACAATAGGACCTATGCTCAGCACCTCTTTAAGCATGCTGCCTTAAACACAGTAAGTGGAACATCCACAAAGTGAAGACCCTGCATTAGTACAACTTTTTCCAAAATGTTGGTGTTAGTCTGTTTGTCATAACTAAAGTGGAGTTAAAGCTAAGCTTTCCACTGTGGAGATAAGAGAAGAGCCCTGTACATTCCCATGCTGCCTCTGTGTGTCTAAGAGAACCTCTGAGGAGCTAATATGTTACTAGTAGCTTTATATGGATAAAATCCTTCCCTTAGTTCAGCTAGCTCCACACCTTTCAGAGGAATAGCCTCTTCCTCTGTAACTTCTGCAGTCCAAGTTCTGACTGTTACCAGAAGTGATTTGCCCTTAGCTAAAATTAAGTGACAGTAGGAGCTTCTTTGTCTCTTACTTAGATGTAGGCATAAATAAGATTCAGGCTCATTAACACGTATTCCATGCTTTTAAAATGGCGGGATTTTTTAAAACCCTCTGAGAAACACAGGAGCATAGTTATAATTGAGTAGGTATGATTGAAAAAGAAAGAGCTTTGCCCAAGGAAAATTTCAATGAAATCAAGTAACTCTTTTTTAAACATTTTTTTTCAATGGAAGAATAAGAGGTTTCATAGATTTCTAGGTTGGAAAAGACCTCAGAGATCGAGTCCAACCGTCCCTAATCCCCAATAAACCATATCCCTAAGTAGATCATCCACCCTATTCTTAAACACATCCAGGGATGGGGACTCAACCACCTCCCTGGGCAGCCTATTCCAGTGGCTGACAACCTTTTCAGAGAAGAAATACTTCCTAACATCCAACCTGAATCAATACAGAAGCCTGGAGGTGTCTGGATGAGAGTAGAAGATGGCAAAGGACCCCTGTGGCCTGAAGTATGGTTCTGTAGCATACTTCAACTATGGAAAAGGAGACCAGCAAAACTATTACTTTTGTCCTAAAATCCTACGAACTCTAAAAACATGAAAGAACAAAGAGTCGCAAGAGCAAGCGTGATACTAAGAACGTTATCAGTTCACAGTGCAAATTCTCACAGTCTTTACTGGATGCAGGGCCAAAAAATCCCCAACATCAAACCCATGTTTTCTCTGTTAGAGTCCAGCCTACAGCTACCTAATGCATTTAGAGACAAAAAACTAGTCAAGAGAAGGGTGGATGGTGCTTTCTTTTGGCTGCAGATGAAAACTGGAGTTCCATTGACAACAGCAATTTTACCACCATTCTGAAGAATTCAGATAGGGTTACATAGGTTTTCTCAAAACAGTTTGCCTCCTGGAGTTTGTAAATGTATGACAGAAGCTGGACAAAGAGCGACGCAACGGTTTGGAAATTTCTTGATTGGTGTGTGGGCATTGTTAGAGAAAAATGTTAGAAAGAATTCAAGGGCTGGAAAGGAGCACACGGTACAATACCTAAGGTGAAACTTCTAGTCTGTTCTGGATTTCACAGATTATTGGTCTTTCGCTGTTGGGCAAGTGGCTTATTTTTCTTTCCTGCACCTTCCTCTTCATCCTCTCCCTTGCCCCTCCCCCCTAAAACAACAATGACTTCTCAAGTGGATTAATTGTCTTATCTGCAGTGCAGAAAAGCTGGTAGCAGTGAAAAAGAAGCATCTGGAAGAACCAGCTACTAAGAAAGAAACTAGGTGAAATCACCCCTCACTCTCATTTGGGTTTCCACTACATACCGCAACAATGTCTTCTGCACACAAATTGTGGGATAAATTCATTTATTTTACCCGCTCTAAATTTGTTGCCTTTAATTATCATCGCTTGCCGCTTAATTCCAGTACCAGAAAACAGAATGAACAACCCTCCCATCTTCTCAATGCTGCTGCCTGAAACTCCTGCTCTTGCTAACGCACCCAGGTCTGCTTCTGCCTGTCCCTGGGTACATGCAAGTTCTCATGCTTACATTTAAACTGAAAGCATGTATAACAAACTACAGCTAGTTTTTCTACAACCTATTTAGGGTAACAGATCTAGAACAGAACATGGAAGGAGAACTAAAATTATGACATTACAATTTGTTTTTTAAATATAGCTAGTGGTGATAAATAATTACCTTGACAATACTGTCTTGAACTGTGAGTCTAAGGAAAAGCTCACTAAAGTCAATAGGGTTGAATTCTGAATTCTGACCTTATTAAGAGTCTGAAGTCACATCTCATTCATTACAGATTCTTTCCACCACTTTCTCAGTAGCATCAGAGTGAAATGAACTCTCACAAGTTCTCGTAAAATGCAAATTAACAAGCAGATGTCTTTTGTTATTCACTCCAATTCACCACAATTTTATTTTTAAAATGAAACAGATTTTTAATTCCTTAATTTTTAAAAACCAAAAACCCCAAACCTGTCCAAGTTTTATTGTCTGTCTTTAAAGATTTTTGTCCACTGTTCTTAGCTTGGGAGTCATGAATAAATACCATGTTTCTAATACCTCCTTTCTTCAGAAGAAGAGATATTGCCTTAAAAGAGATCCGTGGACAAATAAGAGTAGGGACCCAATATAGCAAATTGCATGATACACTAAAATCACTGTGCTGCAAGGCATATAATTTTACTGTAACATCAAAATAAAGTAGTTCTCTTAAAATTAAAAAAAAAAAAAAGATTCATTCAGCAATAAAGAAGCTATTAAAAATACATTTCCCAAACTTATGTGCTTGAGTATTACAAAAATGTGAGTCTTTCTGAATTACAGAGTTCAGTCTGCATTAATATCTTGTAGCATGAACTAACATATGAAGTCCAGAGAGTATTTTGCTTTAGGCAAATTAAGTAGTATAGAAATTGCATAAACAGGGAAAACTAAATCGTAAACTAAAATTTGTCTTACAATTTAAAAAATAAATCATTAGGTGATTTTTAAAGTATTTTAGAGCCTTTTTAATTACCTGCTGTTAAAAAGATAGATCTAATATTACTATAACTAGAAGAGATAAGAAAAAATAGTAATTTTAAACTCAGCTAGATTTATAATTGTTTCCTCTCTATTACTAAAAAGGAAGCAATATCATGATTTAGTATGTGATTTTTTTTAATCTGATGATAGTTTAATTCCTAAAAGAAAGATTTTATATGTATGACTCAATATAGTAGTATTGAAAAAACAGCACCATTTTTCCTGTATTTCAACCAAATGGTATTTACCAGCGAAAAGCAAAACAGATGGTTTTACTCATGAGCTAATACTAACAGCACATTTTAGAGGTCATCCAACCTTTATTCAGTGACACACAAATTCTTCTGGTTGTTTTAACTAATAGATAGTATTACTTCCTTTTAAATAATACAAAATAGCAACTATTCCAGAAAAAAAAAAAAATAAAACTATTGGATGTCAAGTGAGTTGACTCTTCAAACTACAGAGTACTAAAAATATCACCAAGATGTAGCAACTTATATAGCAGGAAATTAGCACTTGGACACGTTCACACTCATTTTAAATGAATGACAAGTTACTTACTTTCATCGTTAGAAACATTCCCCAGAGAGGTGTGACTGGAATAACGTTTGTTTTCACTTTCATTGAGACATCGTTCAATCCAACTCTCTGCAAAAGAACAAAGATGCTCTTTTTTTGTGTTTGTCTTTGCATAAAAAACAAACTCCCAACACATAAAGCTAAATAAAGCACTGGTTTTCAACAGATGGTGTTTTGTAGCATTTCTGTTAAAACATGCTCAGTCTGAGGTTATTTATCAAGAAAATCCTCCCGTGCTTTCAAACGTAGCTATTTCTTTTTAGTTGCATTTTTTGTTTGTCTGTTTTTAAACGACGGAGGCTGAAACACTTCCATGCACATAAAGCTCCTCAGGACATTCTCTCCCCTCCCCATCACATGATACCTTAAAAAAAAAAAAATCAGCTCATGTGGGCAACTGAAACACATAAATCGCATTAATTTCTAAGTCTTAGCCTGCCAAAGACTTATGTACTCCAGTATTTCCACTGGTTTTGAAAAGACTCTTCATGTGGGTAAATCAATCATTTATGTGAGTTTTTGTTACAGCAGGGCTCAAACTGTGCTCTCTGAAGTTCAGTCATACGAACCTATTCACCCCGGTGGAGTTTTAGGCCCTACCAAGATCTTTTCCATGCTGGTAGGAATCCAACACAATGACTGAGTAGCTGCTGAGCTACTCGAACCTTTGTCACTCTGCGGTGGATACTCAACCACTCCTGTCTTCCCTCTTTCTCACTTTCTCTTTATTCCCGTCAGTCAGATGAGGTACAGCACTACATTGATTTGACTCTGCTGTTCCTCTTTCTGGAAGTTATAACACACATCCCCTGATGACTTTAGAGGATGCACCAGGCTCAGCAGAATTTACTATTACAGGTCTTCAGGGCAAAAGTTGCACCTTCCTATGTGTTTCCTTGGACAAAGTATGAAATATGAGTCCCTGAGTTTGCCTGGAGTCCCTGCATATTGCTACAATAAACTGATCTCCCTGGTAAGATTATTTTTCAAGGGCATACACATGGATAGAAATGAACTTATAGTCAGAGCTCCCTGTGGTCAAAGCAAAAAAAGAAGGGATAGGTGGGAAGGCTGTAAGGTAACCTCACAAGTTATGACAGGTAACAACCCCACTGAGCAAAGAGATCCACAAGAAATAAGGGGAAACAGGCCTTGCTGTAAGCAGACTGACAGAACCAGAAACACCTTCAAAGACACGGAAACGGCTGCAGATTCCTTTCCATAAGCCACCTTCCGGGCACATCAGGCTACCAGCACAGTGCCGGCAGCAGCCTGCCAGCCAGAGAAAGCCCATCACTGCAGCAGGCTTGAAGGGAGAGCAGAAGCTCAGTGTCTTGGGAAAGCTGCCCATCTGGTTTATAGAAAGTAAAAGTTGATATGACTTCATTTCTCCACTAAATGCCAATAAGCAAATAAAGGAATAGTCATGGCCAAACACATCCTGCAGAAAAAATGGTTTTTTGCACCCAAGCAGTTTCACAAACTCATATACACACACTCTCCACTGCCACAGAAACAAAAGGGCAATGGCATCTGCGTAGGAATTCAGAAAGGGTCTACCAAGAGCCCTTCAGAGTTGACTTCCAGGCCCTGCCACAAAACTCCCAGTACTGTTGCTCTGTGTGCTTCTGGTTTTCAGGCAGTGTGAGAGAGGTTGTGACAGCTCCAGGCTATTCCCTTCCTCTCTGTCTGCCTCCATGTTCACAGCAGGAACACGCTGGGGTGCTACCTTCATAGGTACAATCAACGTCCCTGTGTGCATCTTCCTCATTCACCATTAAGCTGCCCTATGCCTACAGAGCCTCAAAACTGTGCCGCCCCGTCCCTGTGGTCTGCTTCTTTGAGGTACTTCTCTGAAAATCAGCAAAAATAACTCCTGTTGCCAATAGATTTTTTTTTCAGGATATTTCTTCTCCCATCAAATTCAACACAGCCTTGTATAAAAATTATTTCAAGGTTGCTGACACCACAACTTAAAACTTGCCAGCGAAGCCCGGGCTGTTCAATCAGCTCCTGCTCAGTTACTAACCCCCCACACGCCTGTGGCAACTCTAACTCCAAGGTTTTCCTTTCTCATGCCGGCTCAGCTGCGCCGGGTGGGGGTGTATCACCTCCTTGTCTAAGGGCCAACACAACGAGATGGCTTCTTCATGCCAGGTTTCTTCTACTGCCCTACAACTGAGCTAATACCATCTCTCCTCTCCCATTTTAGTCCCACGAGCTGGGGGACAGGAGCTTGGATCCTCACAGATCACTACGAGGTGGAGAGAAACTTGCTGCTGAGGACAACACCAGAGAGAGGTGCAAGAAGCCTTGAGAAAGATTACCCTACCTCCTTCTCCTCCTCCTTTCAGGGCACAGCCACGGCTGTATATAATTCCCTTGGCTCTGAGCCCAGCTGCAGGGAGTAAAAGCAAAGGCGGCTGCCATTAGCGCCAAGGAGAGACCGATGCCCAGCTCTGCCCTTTCTTTTCCTCCCGGCACCGAGAGCTGGGAAGCCGGGACGCATCCTCTTCCCTCGGCAACAGAGAACTGGCAGCAGCCATCTTTAGTCACGTTCCCTGCCTAAGTAGCAGAAAAAGAAACTTTTTAGGTGTCACTTGACAGCAATTTTCACCGTCGTCGTTCATATATTGTCTCAAATAACTGTGTATATACCCTTTTTTTCATTGGTGAGGCAGGCAGTTCACACTGCGAGATGTAAAGTCTCTTGAGTAGGGTGCAGTTACTGTTTAATTATGTGCTGCAACTCCTTTGGTCCTGAATCACCCTAGTTCAGCTCGCTGCAGCCTGGGTCTGGCTTTGTCTTTGTGGCCTTGCATTTAAATAGCTGACAGAAATTCTTCCAGCCTGAAAAGATACATGACCTGTCTGGCAGCAAAGAATGAAGAAAACTAACTCTTTTGAGCAAAAGTGTCAGGGAGTTTATGGCAAATTTGTAAAATTATTTGGCAGATGACAAAACGCAACAAAACCAACTAGCTATTTAAAGGCTGTATTATCTCATAAACCAAGTGAGGTAAGTATAAATAAATAAGTATTCTAATAAATACCTTCATTTAATAAGTAGATGTTTTTCCCTGTTTGTACAAAGAAAAAAAGTTTTTACAAAGCTTTTAACTCCCATTTTTTTCTGCAGGATGTGTTTGGCCATGACTATTCCTTTATTTACTTATTGGCATTTAGTGGTGAAATGAAGTCATATCAACATATTAACAAGAATGCCTTCAGGTATTAGAAGAAAATGCAACCACAGTTTTGCTGAAATGAAAAATATTCCCTTCAGGAGCCCATACATCTCAGATAGCACCTGCCTAAAATAAAACAAAACCAAAACAAACAGAGAGAGAAAGAGGCAGAGCAAGCAAAATAAAAAGTCAAAACTAAGTCTGATTTTTGTAAGATTTTTCAGAGTTAATACTGGGTAGAGCCCTGTACACACTGAATGCTCTTGTCCTCACAACACACAGGT